ACACACACAGAGAGAGAGAGAGAGAGAGAGAGAGAGAGAGAGAGAGAGAGAGAGAGAGAGAGAGAGAGAGAGAGAGAGAGGGAGTCAGTTAATCTCAGGCTATGATGAAGTCGCCACTTGTGTGGTGTGTTGGGTTGTTTGTAGTGATTTTTATACTGCTGCTTCAGGCTTTCTTTTTGATTTGGTTCCAGGACAAGAAGCTTTTGTCCAAGGTCAACTATTTTGAACAGCTGTCATCTTCTTCAGGTGGGGTTCCCACAGAATCGCCACTTCCCAGACTGGGAGGTCTAAGTTCAAAGTACACAGAACATGTGCGTGAGCTGCTCGAACAGGGAACAGCATGGCTCAGAAACATCCCAGCAGAATCTGCGCAATACCATAAGGAAGATTTGTTGGCTTTGAAGAATGAAATTGCTCAGATTCGAGGGCTGATCGACCTCGTCGATGAACATATCTCCCTTGAACTGCAGTGGAGTTCGGGATCATCGCCGAACCTCTCGGAGCCAAGAGCTGGGGCTGAACTTCAGTGTCTCCAATGGGGCTTACCGCGGAACAACGTGGCGCAAAGAGGACCTGATTCACAGAATCATTCGAAAGATTCGCAGCGGAAAATCCCACCGTCCATCGGTCCTCTTCATTGTCCTGCTCTTGGTCCACAGAAGAGATGGCTAGCATGGAGTCCCAGAGAAGACAGGTACCTGGTTATGATGTGCATGGCCAAAGGTGTGCAGAAGCGCACAGAATGTCTATTCAACCATATGATAGCTTCTGCGTTGCTGAATCGCACACTTGTAATCCCACTAACGGACGAGGAGTTCGACTATCGCTTGCACTTTGACTTCAACCACATCGCCGACTGTTTCGGTGCACAAGTTGTCGTGAGCTTGGACACCTTCCTTGACACGGCAGCAGCCGATGCCTCGCTTCCTAACGCTTCCTCGTTTGGCTGGCGAAGATGCCTCCCTAGCCACAGGAACAAGGAATCCGTGGAATTGTTCAAGGCGAGGACGGGCTTGAGTTTTGCTCGAGACGAGTGCAACCAGAACCTCGTCGGAAGTCCCAGCTCGACAACCGATGTTAACCTAGCGGAGTTCGTCGCTCAGTATTCCTCTGAAGAGCGTGTCATCGCCATCGGTGAGGGGTATGGGCTTCGGATGGGGAATGTAACCGTCGATCTGCTACAGGGTAAGGACCCTTGGGTAGTAAACTGCAGCACTCCAGTTGTTATCCCACAAGCCGCGATTGTTCGCACGGCGTCGCTCTTCATCAAGACCTTCCTTGGTCCGAAATTCATCGGTGTACGCTTTCATCGTGACGACTACTGGAATGGGTGTCGTCGACAAAATGCAAGCCATCCCTGTTCCATACACTCCGTTCCACAAGTCGCCAGATTTCTGTCGCAGTTGTCGCAAGCCACTGGCACGAATGTCATGTTCATGTCCACGGATTGGGCCGACGGTGAGTCGACTCTACTCCACGACCTTCTGAATATCCCCGGATGGCCTATCATGTTGGGGAGGTTGCCTGATCGCCTGGGCGTCAACCGTACATCCGAATATTGGGCGCGATGGTTGCTACGCATGCACATCAACAGTACCGATGTGATGCATCACACCCTCCACCAAGCTGTGCTGGCTCTCTCGACAACCTTTGTTTACACACCCTCCACGTTATGGACCGATGGCCAGCCCAGGAATGCTTCCGACACATTCATCGATGAAGTGCTTAGACTGCGCACCGCCTGGAAGACGACTGGTTGCTTTGACGGACCCATCTGTGGTGCGGAGCAACCGGATCAACTCGACCTCATACCAATATCTTAGTCCTTACACAGGCTATACCTGTCTACATTAGTGCCTGCTATATTTTCCCTTGAACAGCTGAACTCAGACTTTGTGACGCACCTTGTGCATACACACGTATTGCATGTCCTCTCAGGCTTTTTTTTTTTTTTTGTGAATCCCTTAGGCACAGCGTTCAGATTTCTCTCTTTCCATAAAAAGTAAACAACTCTGTGGATATTCTGCAATATTTGCCTTTTCCTGAGGTCACTGTGACTTCCCCTCTGGGTTCGGCCGGTGATGCCGTCCTACTGGGGGAGCACAACAACATTGTTAAGGGACACTGGGCCCGGTTCTCGGCTTGTATTTCTAATAAAAAAAAAAGAATTTTAAAAAAAAAAAAAAAAAAAAAAAAAAAAAAAAAAAAAAAGAAAAAGAAAGAAAGAAAGAAACTTGGTGATCTTCTTGATTTTGAATTTGATTTTTTGATGGTTTTTTTAAATTTTTAAACCTTTTCTTTTCCTTTTTTTTTGTAAGAAGGGCTCCAATCCATGCATGGGGAGCATCACCTGCTGGGAACCGGGTTCGGTGCCCTGACTTCTTTTTTTTTATTTTGTAATGCCTTGGAATTTTATTAAAATCAGGCCCAGTGCCTAAGGCTGTACACGGGCTTTTCCCCCAAATTTCAGCAATTAGTAAATTACACACAGAAAATGCTGTGAACGGGAAAAAAAAAGTCCCATTGATATGGCTACCAATAACATTGCCCACCTCAAAATCGGGTTAAGCCACCACTCCAAGTGTCGCCGTAGATTTTTCTCGGACTGAGTCCCGCAGCAAAATCTAGAGTGATCAGGCAACGCGTAGGTTCAGAGGGAAGAGGCTGGTGGCCCCAAACAAATATATTGAACTGGAAAAATAAATAAGAAAAAGGAAAAAGGGCAATTTCGCCCCAAATGGGGCAAAAAGTGTCGTAGGCCCCAAAATTACTTTTGGCGTCATTTTTTCACCCTGTAGAACACTTTCCCGCCATATTTGCATAGCGGGCGTTACCAGCCCAGCCAAGGTGCAAAAATGACATGAAAAGTCATTTTGGGGCCTGGGACACGTTTTGCCACGTTTGGGGGGAAATGAATGCATGGTTACCGTCCGGACGTCCGGAACCCATTCCGGACCTTCTGTGTCTGGATGTCTGGGCGGACGTCCAGTCCAGTAGGTCCAGAATTTAAAAAAAAAAAAAAAAAAAAAAAAAAAAAAAGGGGGGGGGGGGGGGGGGGGGGGGGGGGGTGGGTTTGTTAATTGTCCACCCCCCAAAAAATTGATTGTGGATTTTTTCACTATTTTCCGGCCCTTTGAGAAAGCCAAAGAGGGCCGGGCTGAAACTGATTCTGATTGTGTGTGTGTGTGTGTGTGTGTGTGTGAGAGAGAGAGAGAGAGAGAGAGAGACAGAGAGAGAGACAGAGACAGTTAGAAACAGAGATTAATAGATAGACACACACACACACACACACACACACACACACAGAGAGAGAGAGAGAGAGAGAGAGAGAGAGAGAGAGAGAGAGAGAGAGAGAGA